CCACCCCCTTCCAGTGCTGCAAAGGACACTGGGAACTCCCTGGTTCAATCCCATTGTTTACAGGTGCACAAACCGAGCCCTAGAGAAGAGAAGCACCATGCTGTGTCATTCAGAAGTAGAGCCAGAAGTTTCTTTCAAGGACATCTAGGCCAAACTCTTCATTGGCCAGATGAGGGAACTGAGGCCCAGTGATGTTAACTAACCTGCCCTGAGTTGAAGAACTAGTACTGAAACCCGTAACCTCTGATTCAAAGTTCATATTTCAGGGGTGCCTGGGTGGCTCAGTCTGTTAAGCATCTGCCTTAGGCTCAGGTCATGATCTCAAGGTCCTGGGATCCAGCCCCGCATTGAGCAGGGAGACTTCTCCTTCCTCTCCCTCTGCTGCTCCCCCTGCTTGTGCTCTCTCTCTCTGTCTGTCTGTCAAATAAATAAAGAAAATCTTTAAAAAAAAAAAGGTCATATTTCATTTCAGGTAAGGTACATGTAAGTAAGGTACATACTGCAGACACCAGGCACACGAAATCCAGGCTCCAAGGATATGTATGCAAAACAGTAGGTTTTCATGAAAATCGGGGGGAAATCAATTTATAGCCATATTTCGGAATTCCCATTTTCCTCTGCAAGAGATGCATCATATATTCCCGTGTAGGGGATGTGATGAAGATAATAATTAAATCTGTGATAAGGTTTAGGATATATGGGTATAGGCATAAAACAACCTCTAGAATTATTTTCACTCCAACCCCAAAGCCCAAAAGAGTTTAATGAAAGTCAATTTCCTATCATCAGGAAGCAGTTCATCTGCAGTGGCCCAAAGTGGGGCCCTATTGGAAAGCTAAATCTGGAAACAGCAAAGTCCATGTATATCTTGGGCCCTAAGCCTATTACTTACCGCAGCATTGTCCTGCTTTGGGGCCAGGCCAGTGGTGTGTTGGTAAGTGCTCAACAAGTGGCTCTACAGGGGAAGCCCACATGTGTCGTGTTTTCCAATATTGGAAATACTGATAACCTCAAGAACATATATAATAGAAGGTCATAAAATAAATAGGAAGTGGTGAATTTTGATTATTTATTACCATCGTTTTTAATATAATTCATTTGTATGTTTACGTGATTTAATATTTACTAATGGTTGTGCTTTGCAACCAGTTCACAAAATTTCTGATAATTTATTTGTTGTTGTTTTTTTTTAAGACTTTATTTGAGAGAGAGCACGAGCACGTGTTCTTGTGGCCGGAAGGGGCAGAGGGATAGGGAAACAGAGACTCTCAAGCAGACTCCCTACTGACTGTGGAGCCCAGTGTAGGGCTCCATCCCAGGACCCTGGGATCATAACCTGAGCCAAAGTCAGATGCTTAACCGACCGAGCCACCCAGGCGCCCCACGAAATTCCTGATAATTCAGCAATCAGCTCTTATAAGGTAGAACAAATCAGAACAAGCTGGAACAAGTCAGGTCTTCCAGCAGACCCCTGGCCCTACAGATCTGAGTTTAAATCCTGGTCTATTGTTCTGCCAGCTATGTGATGTTGGCTGAAGGTTTTCAATTTCTTTGAGCTTTTGTTTCTTCAGCTCTGGAAGGTGACACAGTAACAATAACATCATGTGTTCACTGCTGATGCTTAAATGAGATAATGCTTAGCAGAGTGGCTATACACACTAAATGCTCTGCACTTCACTATTAGTGCTTCCCAAAGCCAGATTCACTCACTCAATAAACATTTCGCAGGAATGTATTTTATAGGTGCTTTCTATTGTATGTGGTCTCCAGTATTAGGTCCTACACCTAAGGCTGGTAGAGAGTACCTCAAACATTATTCTTGCCCTGCCCTCAAAGAGTTCCTAGTCTAGCAGAATGAGATATAAGACCTGAACACCAGTAGGCAGAGTCCAGAGCAAGCTGTGATCAGTTCATGAAAAAGCAAAGAGCTTGGGAAGGGCAGGAAAGGAAGAGAAGGGGTATTCATGGAGGCCACCATGTGCGAGCCATAGATTTCAGAATAGACTTGGACATGCAGACATGTCTGGGAAAGGGTGTCCCAAGAAGAGAGAGTAAAGGGAGCAAAGGTAAAAATAAAGGAACATGGAGGCATAGGCTTGTAAGAGTTAGTGGAACAAAGATTATAAAAGGGTGTCTCGGGGATTGTTAGAAAGGCAGGCAACTCCCAGGTCATGTTAGCCTTGAATGCTGAGGAATTTGGTGTATGTTCACTTGGGTAGTGGTGGGCCTGGGGAAAAGTTTTCCTCTGATAAGTGACACAAATCAGATCTTTCGATTATCTATCATATTATTTTATATATTTGTTCACTGAATGCATTTTTATGGTAACCGTTCTTTCCTTTAATAAGAATAGTTAGGAGTTAACTAGATAGTGCAATATAGTTTTAAACTAACTAAATTTCCCCTGTGGAAAAAATTCCTGTGCTCGGGGATAGAAGGTGGCATTATAATTCCCAGTTGAAAACAAAGTCATTATTTAAAGCCTTTGATAAATATTAGGAGGGCTCAAACCAGTGGCAGTATTTCATGAGTTTTGAATTGTCTACAGCATCCCTCTTGCATTATGCTTCGCACACAAAAAAGTCATATGACCTACATCTTTATCTGCTCCAGTCTTAAGCTTCTATATATAGGCTTTGGTTATGAATGTTTTTTCCTACGAAAAGGTCAGACTTTGCACATGTACCATCAATGCAAAGCCCTGCTTATTAAAAAGCAGGCAGGCGAGTGTGTAAAAGTCATTGAAATATTACTGATGTGGGGGAAAAGCCTGGCAGTTCGCTAAAAAAGAAATGGCCTCCAAGCATTCTCGGAGAGAAGATGGGGAAGCCTCTCTCTTGTGATTACAGAAGCATTTTCCTTCTGCCTAGCGCGACCTGAGGCTGTCTGCGGCACCCTTGTGCGGAAGCAGGCTGGGACACTCCCGCCCCCAGCTCTCTCGTGCATGCGGGTGCACACACTCGCCTGTATCAGAGAGACACCAAGCTCTGTTAACTCCTCCACCACACCTCAAACCCCCGTGGAACATCTGGAGGTGGAGCTGGGGAAGGTACCTCGACCAAATAGATGCAAACCCAATTTGGGGTTTCCGGTCGTACGCAGAGTGCGGCAGCCACCCTTGGCCAACTTGCAACACCAGAGAGAACCTGGGGAGAGTTGAACTCTTACTTTTAAGCCAAAAGTTCACAGGTTCAAATGCCCCTCGAATGTCAACTGCTCTGTAGGGCTAACCTTTGAGTCTGAATGCTCTGAAAAGATCAAGCTGCTTTAGGAAAGAGACCCGCCGATTTCATTCGGCTCTTTTCTCCATGAGATCAAGTTCTTTCCCAGCAGGAGATTATTTAACGATTATGTGAACTAGACGTGATACTCCCTTGCTTTAAGAGATAAGAAACCGAAGTTTAAAGAGGTTAAGTGACTTGCTCAGGTTCACTCAACAAGTCAGGCTCCTGTGGATTCAACATGTGGTCAAGGAGTCAGTGCTGGGACGGGCACTCTTGTCACATAAAGCAGTGGATGCCACTGTGCCTTTTCTCTGTTGCTTAATATCTACCTGTTAAGACAAGCCTCACAGGAGACCTTATAAAATAGGGATCGGCAGGTTATAGTGAGTTAAGTATTAAGTCGACGGTTGGAAGAACCTCGTTATGGTTTTAGATCAGATATTATCAAACACTTATTCATTCACTCACTCATTTATTCATTCAGTGAACATTTATTGGGAACATGCCAGGCCCCATTCTACACACTGGGGGTACAGTGTTGTGAACAAAACCAGATGCCATCCTGATCCCTTGAAACTGAGACTGGGGGCCTTCTATATATACACTGCAGATTCTTTATACTTTTTTTGTTTGTTTGTTCACCCCCTTCATCTGTCCTCCAGCATGTGAGCCCCTCAGAGGCAAGAGCCATGGCTAACCCACTTGTGAATCTCACCACCTGGTACCGAGTGGCACTGGTGGTAGCAGGGATGATCTGTGAGGTTTCCCCACTCGTTCCTGGATCCTACCCCTTCAGACCCCCACAAAGTTCCCTGTTGAAACTTGGATAGGTTTGAGGCTGTGGGGGTTACCAACATGGTGGTATCAGATAAAGACATGCTTAGATTCAAGTGAAACAGTATGAGCACTTGTAGTTAAAAAATCAAGAAAGGAAAGGGAAGGGAAGGGAAAGAGAAAAGAGAAGAGAAGAGAAAGAAGAGAAGAAAGGAGAAGAGAAAGACAACGGTAAAGACAAAAGAAGGCAAGGCAAAAAGAAAAGAAAAGTAAAGAAAAGAAAAGAAATTCAATCTTGCAGTAAGAGCTGTCCAAGAATAACAGCCTGTTTGGTGGAGTAAAGATTCCCCATCACTGGAGGGGTCCATCAGAGGCAGGGCCACCATTCCAACAAGGAAGCAAAGATAGTCAAGCATGGGATGGGAACACATCACTCCTGACTGGGACCAGCTCTCCATTATTCACCATTTTGAGTATAAATGATGGTACTAAATCCCTGGAATTTCATTTCCCCTCTCCCAAAGAGGTCAAACTTGAAAAATTAACTTGGGTCTAACTTCATCTTTTTTTTTTTTTTTAAAGATTTTATTTATTTATTTGAGAGAGAGAATGAGATAGAGAGAGCATGAGAGGGGGGAGGGTCAGAGGGAGAAGCAGACTCCCTGCTGAGCAGGGAGCCCGATGCGGGACTCGATCCCGGGACTCCAGGATCATGACCTGAGCCGAAGGCAGTCGCTTAGCCAACTGAGCCACCCAGGTGCCTCGGACCTAACTTCATCTTTACCAGTCTACAGACTATGGTAATAGTGCCAGTCCAAGAAAAATGGCTTTCTTCTGTTTTATTAGCTTACCTCTCTTAAAATTCCACTTTTGATGCACTACTTAGTGGCTCCAAAACCCTTCATAGTTCCCTATCGACTCCAGGCTAAACCCCAATCACTTCATACTGGCATTCAAGATCCTTCACCACCCGGCTCCGATACCTCTCTTTCTTAGCCTTACCTTGAACTTCTCTTCATCCACCACCTAGTTCCTTAGTCTGTTAAATGCAGAGCCTCTGGAACACTCCTCCTCTTTTCCATCTCCACATTTTTCTTTACGTTATTCCAATACCAGTCATATTTGTGGTATCTATTTCCTTATTCCTTAGAGTCTTTCCTTATTTGCTGACACTCCTGTGTCTTCATCATCATGTGCCCAGTGCCCAGTCTGTCTCTCAGGCCAAGTTTATTGGCTGGAATTAACTTGGATTAGAAAACATTTTTCCATGCAGGGTGGCAGAAGGACACATTGGTTAAACGTACCGATTCTGCAGCTAGCCTCCTCTGGTGTGAGCCCTAGCTTTGCCACTTACTGTCAGGGTGATCCCAAGCTAGTTACTTAAACTCCCAGGGTGCGAGGTTTTTTATCTGTAGAATGGGAAAAATAATAGCCCCTACCTCATGTCAAGAGGGTTAAATGATTGATTTTTATGAAGTACGTACTCTAGTGTCTGACACCCAGCTATTCACTTAGGTAGTGCCTATTCATTCTTTAAGGTGCCCTTTTATTTCTTCCTCCTTCATGAATATTAATTATATTTTCCATGTATAAAGCAGTTCAGAGTTTACAAAGACCTTTCATATGTGTTTTCACATTTAATCATCACAGTAATATGTGAGGTAGATGTTGCCATCCCCGGAGAGTTTGGGTGACACAGGTAAAAGCAGGGGGCGGGGGTGGGGGGTGGTGACAGGAACTCGGAGATTCTGGTTCTCTGTTCTGAGGGTGTTCAGACACAACATCTTGCTCCCAGTCTGGATCAGTGAGATTTACGGCTTCACACATTCCCCGGAGGCTTGGCGGTTGCAGCTTACCTCTGCTGCAGATTGTTCTGTGAACTTTGCTCCATCCTGTATGCAAACCTTCACTGCAGGACACCAAATAATTGTAACAGCAGAACAAAACACCCAAGTTAGAAGGGATCTTGGACATCATTAAGTCTGATCCCTCCCCCCACCCAAACCATTTTACAAACGGGAACACTGAGTTCCAGGAAAGAAAATTATTTTTCTAAAGACCCACTAGTTTACATGCTCCTCAAGATAGGGTCATGTGAGGGCACTGGAGAAATAAAGACAAGACTCTGGCTCTCAGGGAAAACATAGTCTAGTAAACTAGGTCCTACACATTTTATTATCTCAAATGTCTAACCCAGTGCCTAACACACACAGTAGATGTACCATAAATGCCCCCTGAATAAATGAACAAATGAATAAATGAATGTCACTACTCAGTCACTGGCTGAGCTGCCCCTAAACCCTGGGCTCCAGATTACCAACATGGGCTCCCCACTGCTCCCACCTTTCACCTCCCCCATCCAGACTCGCTTTATAGTGAGGTTTGAGAAACAGCTAATAGACATGTTGCCCATCATGTTTACTCAGGATGCAAAAGTGGATTCCTAGTCATCTTGTAGAAGAGTTTGCTCTCTGTCTCTGCTGCAGGGACAGACACTGAGCAAGGAGGTAGCAGAAGACCAGCTCCAACAGACCCAAGACGTGCCCTGTGGGATGCCAGTGCTGTCTAAAATATTCCCGTAACTTTGCTGTACAAACAGAAACCGATATGTGATGCATGTCGGTTTGTGACGGATACCTTAACATGCTTCACATTTTTCCTGATTTCACTGTTTCATAGAATGTCCCCGCTGGCAGGTGCCTTGGAGATAATCGGGCTTAATCATTTCTTTATGGGAGAGATAAAAAGTCAAGAGTCAGAGGGGGACATTGAGTAGCTCATATTCACACATCGTATCAGCAGCCCAGACTAAACTTGCATGCAGGTTCCCTGGCTTCCAGTGAAGACATTCTTCCCATGCCCCATATTGCTGGATCTGGCATTAAGCCCGCAGGCTACACTAGCGCAAACTTCTCAAGAGCACAGGTTCCGTGTGACTCACCTTTCTACCTTGCACTGTTGGCGTAGTGTGTGGCACTTCACAGAAACTCCTTCCCTGCTCAGCACTGTGGAGTTCTCAAAGAGCTTTCATGCTCATCATTGGTCCCATTTTATAGATCAGGGAGCCTCAGGCAGCCCGAAGGGACCAAGGGCTCATGGCTTCAGAAAAATGGTAGCAGAACTTGAACCTCAATCTTCTGACAATCAGTCCATGCTCCATCTCAACACTGCATAACAGTCCAATAACTATTTGATGACCAAGTACATGAATAATGGTAGAATGGGTGAATGAATGAAAGACTGACAAACATAGAAATCAATCACTCACTCTTGAGAAACAGTTTTTAGGAAAATAATTAACTTCAGACCCTTACTCTGCCTGGGCCCATGGTGACCTGTTTCAGCTTTGTCACCAGTGCTTTCCTTCTACTGGACGCCTCACATATGTGCTTAAGGGAAGGGGGAAAACTAAGAACTCCCAAACTCTGTGTTCTTTCAGAGGCCCATGTCTCTGATATTATATCCAATTTGGATGATTAAAAGAAAGCATGAAGAAAGACCTTTAAACCACCCAAATATCACCATCCAGAGATTATACCAGTAGTTAATATTTTACTGAACATCCATCCTTTTTTAGTCTTTTTTTTTTGTCAAAGCATATATATAATTTGTTTAGTGGATTCATACCGAATAAACTGCTTAGTGATCTATTTTTGGTATTTCATAGTAAATCACAAATATCTAGTTGGGCCATGAGTGGATCAAGAGAAAGAATGAGCATACTATTTTGACAACATTTGATCTGCTGAGTAACGCATAGATATTGAGATCCCCAAACACTGTTTTCTAATGACTATTTCAAGAGCCCAGTGAAACCATTTTACCAGGCTCTGTCTGAGATTTTCTAAGATGGCCATGGCTATAACACTGTTAAAACATGAGTAATTCAAATAGCTTGGAATAACAGCTTTCAATTTGCTAACCTCTTTTGCACACACACACACACACACACTCGCATATCCTATTGTAAGACAATCAGTGTGTTCAGTAGGCTAAGGAGGAGACATCACGCATCTCATATGTTCCTTATGACAGCCCTAGAAGAGAAGCAAGGTTCGTGTCATTATTTTAAAGATGAAGAAATTGAGGATCAGGGGGATTACATGTACATGCCTGGGATTTTATGTTGTTTTTAAAATAATACTGAAGAAAAAAATAAGCAAACAAAACTCAGCCAATGTTGAAAGAGGAGTTCCTTGGGCTGAAGATTAGTAGAAGATTTTATTCATTCTTAGCGCAATGGAGACTTGAACCCATCTTTGATCTTCCATTCCAGACTACTCTTTCTATCATGCTACACTGCCTTTCTGACTTAAAACACGTTTGAAGTTTTGGTGATTTTAGTTCATTTCATGGGATAGATATACATACATTGCCGCAACTCCATCAGCACGAGTGCTGACGGTGCATTCTGTGGCCTCTCCAGATGGGCTGACTGCCTGTCAGGTCTGTAAATGAGGTTTAATTTGATTAACGTGGGCCACTGGTCAGGACAACCTCCCCCACTCAGTGAGGCGCGGGCCACCAGGCACGGCTGGCTGGACAGCCAGAGAGAGGTTGTGATTCATTTCTGCCCTAGGCACCCACCTGGCCGCCCTGGTGCAAGGGCTATGGGACCAGGGGAAAGTGACAGGCTGCAGCACCCTGCCTGTGAGCTGGGCCTCGGGAGTAATAGCGAGAAGAGGGGTGAGAGTAGCAGCTGCTGAGGTTGATATTTATATAATGACTCTCTGTGTTCAAGGCAGGAAGTGAAACCGAGGTTGTGCTGAGGCACTTTCCTTCCCCCACACCGCTGCCCACGGTTAGCTCCAAAGGGGTGACATGGGGAGAACCTGAGTGGGGTATGCCCAAGTGTGTGTGTGTGGAGACACGCCAGGTCCTGGGCTGGTCACTGAGATGTCACTGCTGAGGCTCTGCCTGCTGACCCCAGGGGCTCCTCTCTCTCAGTGTTCTCAGCCTTCATCCGCTCCCTCCCTCCTCCTAGTTCCCCTTCATGATGGGGAGAGCCCTAATGTTCCCCTGAAGCTTAGCAGGAATGCTGCGAAGGTACATGAGATAGGATCTGTACAATGCAGGGCCAGCCATGCATCTCTGAGGAATGAGCATTAAGCTCTTTGTTGCTTTTCTGTGACTATTTCCAACTCCATCACCTGTGGTTTCTGCGGACAGTTGTTCCCTGACTTTTTTACCTGCCTCGAGTCAACATTTGCCTCACCCCTCTCCTTTCGTTTCAGGCATTAATATCTTTTCAGATGGCCTCAGGCTTCAGAGCCAATATCCCCACCAGGGCCTACCTTCCCTCTTGCTTAAGCTGAGGCTTAGAAATGCTATTCTTACCTGTCTACGATAAAAATGTATTTTAATCTAGATTGCATACCATCTGAAGACGTTTTCCTATTCTGCTTCCCACCCTAGTATTGGGGAACTATTTGCATCATGGAGGGTTCACAGACAAAAAAAAAAAAAAAAAAAAAGACCTTAAAAATAATCTAGCCCTCTGTTTCTCAATGGGTGAAGGATCAGCAAGAGCAGCGGTACCGAGGCGCTTGTTTGGACTGTGGAATCAGAGGCCCCACTCCAGACCCACAGAATCAGAATCTGTATTTTTGCAAGATCTCTGGATGATTCATATGTACATTATACTTTGAGAAATACTGCCTTAGTCCAAGATGCTCACTAGCAGATGGAGGAAATAAGGGCTCAAAGAGGGAGCCAGACCTGCCCAAGGTGGCGCAGCAGGAGACTAACATCAGGATGGAACTCAGTAGCCTCTGTAGTTCAAGCCTCTTCTGCCTGAGGCCCTAATGAAGATACAGCCTCAGGCCAGCACTATGAAACCAGCAGGGCAAGGTCTTCCCCCTTTTCATTTTTACTCTAAATTTCATTAATGGGCATTTTTGCAATTTACTTCACCAATAGAAAATCAATACAAATGGTTTTCCCACACCTCCTTTGACCTCTTGTCTGGTCTAAGTTACCATTCTAGTGGCCAAGTTCCACAGAGCCTAGTGTGCTTAATTAGGGATATTCAACCGGAGTTTATTCAAAGGAGAGCCTCTGGGTGCTGTTAAGGAAAGGGAGATGCATTATCAGATGTTTCAGTGACCCCAGCCCTGTCCCTCAGGGCCCTTGCCAGGAAAAACTATGCATGACAGTGTGTTTTGAATCACAAAATGATCACCCTGGAAGGGACATTAGACATCATCTCATCCAACCCCTTCAAATCTCTGAGCCATAGAGAAAAATGACTTTCTCAGGTTTATCCAACAAACTGGTAGCATATTTGGGACAAGAGTTCAAATCTCTTGCCTTTCAAGTCAGGGATCCATGCTGTGTGGCTCCTCCCCACTGCCCACCAACTAAATGGAATGGACAACCTAACTTAACAAATTGGATGGTATTTACCCCAGAATTCTGAAGTGAGTCATGGGTAGAAATGTGGAGCTATTATTCAGACTGCATATCCTCTCATAAATGGTCACTGCCCCAGAGGGAATGTCATATTGCCAATGGGATTTCCACCCATGTGAAGGGTTGCCTGGGAATTATAAGAGGTTGAATCTGACTGCCGTGTCTGGAATCCAGGATTCTAGGATCATGTAAATGTAGCAAACATAAGCTATTATGGGGAGAAAAGCAGAAGGACTTTAACAAACCAACCTGCTCTTAAGAGATTAGGGCTAGGCACTTGATGTAATAAGGTGTTATATGCAACTGAAGGATCACTATACTCTACCTCTGAAACTAATAATACACCATATGTTAATCAATTGGATTGAAATAAAAATTTTTAAAAAGAGATTAGGTTTAGGATCTAAGTAGGGGACTATTGAAACTCAGTGCTTTCAATTTTCATAGATTCAAGATGTCTGTGGCTGGACTTTCACATCAGAGATCAGCTTGATTCCAGAAATGGTTGTTATGGTACTACCTCATTTTTGACAAGGATCATAGGAAATAATATGGTACTATTGTTGCAACCTCCCTAGATAGAGAATATTAACAAAGGGATCTGCAGAAATCAGAAACCACTCTGAATTGAGTTTTCCTTCATCCACATTTTAATCAAAGACATGGAAGAAGGGACACTAAGTAGTGAAACCCCACTTTTATAAATGTCATCAAACATTTTTAGTCATCACGGCACCTCCTTTTCAGACCTTACTGGTTTCACCATTAGCGTTTTGTCAGATGCTCCAGGTGCCCCTGTGAGGTATGCAGAGAGAGGTCTATTGTCCCTATTTGAGACCAAGAACCCAAGCTTCAGGGAGCAGAGTGTTTATCCAAAGCTTTCATCACTTCAATCCCAGTTGGACTTTAAATCCAATGCTCTTTCCATTACACAATGTTGCTTCTAGGTAAAGAAATACCACACAAAATAATAGCTCCTACTATCTGCACACTTGTTTAGAAGTTACAAAACATTTGGACAACTCTGTGATTTGGGGAGCAACACAACTAATGGTTAAGAGCATCCTGTGTGACCCCGGGGATGCTGTGCATGGTTGTCTCATTGAACTATGGCAATGATTCTCTGAAGCGGGTGTTATTTTTCTATCTGTATATTAGGAAACCAAGCAAGGTTAAGCCAAGCAAGGTTAAGCATGGTCAGAGAGCTAGAAACTGATGGAGCTACAATTAGAATCCTGAGTGGATTTGAGTTCAAATATCTCTATCAACTCAGTGTTACAGTAGAGGAAATGGACTTAGAGATGATAATGACCCCAAATCATAGAGCTAATAAATCATAGAGAAAGAATATAAGCTGGAGTCCCCTGACTTTAAATCTCAGGAACTCGGGAGAATCCAAAAAAGTCACAACAAAGCTTCAGTTTGGGCAAATATAAAGCAGTGCTCATGAGTAAATATGCCCCAATCTCTCTAGAGTGATGGACTCTCATGTATCACAATTCAGGAAACACCCTTAGGTTTATTACATTTCACTTCCATAACCAGGTATTGAGCAAAGACCTTGCACCAGTTACAATGCAGGTGACTTGCATGGCTCTTCTCTTTCTCAAGTCTCTTAGCAATTTTTTGAAGTATTGTCTTCCTCTTTTTACAAAGGAAAATCGGTGACTTGTCCAGGGTCACACAGTAATGAGTGGCAGGGCAGAAACTGAGATCAGCTCTGACTGAACTCTAGTAGCTGCAGCTGAGGGGCTCGTGGGAATGTTAGATCTCAC